TGTTAGTCGTCCTCTGGAATATCTAAAGTATTAGAATAATCGCTTGAAATGTTACGTGCAAGTTTCTCATGTTTTTTTGTTTTTTTTTATTCTTTTTCAAATTATTTCTTTATATTAAATAAGTAGCAACAGTTTAAACTCTCATATTCATAGAAATATTTTACATAAAATTGTTATCTGTTAATATCAGTTTTTTGATTGCCAATTGTTTCGAATCTAAATTCGATTATGGATAGAATCGAGTGAATTTTATCACACCTCAAATCAATTCGTATCAAAATGACGTCGTGCGATTTCCAGCTCAAGCCGGTATATTTCTTTTTCATATAAACTCATTGCAGTAGCTGTGTTAGCTAGTAGTACGTACTGTCATTGAGCCCTTGTCCGACCAACATCCAAAAATATAGAAATATTAATTTTTCCAACTGCAGTCGCCCCTGAGCAGTAAATGTCGTGTCAGTTTCAAACATTTTCTGTAAACGAATATAAATTTTATACGTTGCACGTAACTACGTGTACTGATTGTGCTCGATGAAACACGATCAGTTATCTGCTAACAACAAGATGGTAACGAGACGTGAACTACTCCAAGTTTGCACTACAAAGGAGTACTCCAATGGACCATATGGTCTACAAATTTTTGCAGGGTAATGAATTACATGCAAATATGTAATATATGTATATGCACTTGCGCTTGTTTACTTTAGTCTGGATATTAAACTCAAGTCCTTGTTTACTTATAATTTATTTACCTTTTGATGCGCAGTTATTGTTAACGGTATATTTACATTTATTTTCATTATAAATTTCATATAGTTTTGCTTTCTTCTTGATTTCTGTTATACATCAAAACACACATCATATAGTAAATATTTTACTTTTTTTGCAATTCTTGTTGCATGTGGCAAGAGCAAATGTCCTTCAGTTGTATGTATAGAGGTATAGAGAGAAGTGACGTTTTAATAGCAATGTGCTGTCATCACAACGTGTAATTTACTTATGCATACGCACTGTTAAATTAATTTCAACACATTCCTTTGGGTGTTGATGGCGAGGCACATTAACATTTTGCCTTCAGAAAACATTTCCTCATAATTTTATTTCAATTAAAAAATAATAATTACACTGCTGGAGGAAAATAGTGTGAATAATTTGTTACCCCGCTCGCTCCTGTTATGGAATATCATCACTTGATAATATTTTTTTTTTTTTTTTGTTTAAAAATGGAAGTAACTTTGGCTTCAACTGTAAAACTTTAACTTTTAAATTTGAATTTTTTTAAATTGACGCAGAACTTTTTCCCTCCACAATTTTGTCTAAATAAATTATTTATATACAAAGTTTGGCCATAAATTTTAAATTGTAGTGCATAAATAATCTATTTTGATATGCTTCCCCTTGGCAATTGCTCCAATTTTATTAGTTCAAAAATTCTGACTTTGAATAAAATTTCATGTGAACTGTCAGTTTTAGTGAACCATAGCAAAGCATTCGACTGAAAATACCCCAGACAGATTTTTTGAAAATAAATGTGTAAGTATTTAACTACATATTTACGCTATAATAGGCCTCCTTGCTAATGTGTAGAATTAATTAGCTGTGCGTCATCACTGTAGACACGCCGCCGCTGATATACCGCCAAAAATAATCGGAAGTGGGACACGAAGCTCATATGCCCATTGTCACTCGGGGCCGCCAGAGAGAGCGTAGCATCTTTGTTCTTTCTTTCATTTGACTTTTCTGTCAACTGCCTGTAGGCGCGTGGAAAATCCGTGCCACTCATACATGTATTTACATATAATTCTATTGAAAAGTTTTCATAAGAATGTGCGGAGCTATTTTTAAAATCTAAACACCTTAATGCGGGGCGTGCGTGGTCTTGGTTAGGAGAGACGGTAAAAAGTGTGCCCAAAGAGGCTTATTTCAGCGTATGTGACATTTTGTTGCACTGTGGGGCATTTCACAATATTTTTGCAGTAATTTATTTTAATTTCTTTTATTTTATTTTAATTCATTTAACTTTATTTTTTTTTTTATTTGAAGTGTTTGCTTATTTTATTCATTTCCTTCTTCTTCTTTTCTTTATTTTATTTAAAATAATTTTACTTTTCAATTAAAATTTTCACTTAATACTATTTTTTATTTTACTATTTTCATTATATTTTATGTTTTATTTTGTTTTTTTTTTTTTTTATTTTATATTTTTTCGTTAAATGCAAAAAGGAAAATCTTTAGCTACTGAGGCCTACGTCACTTATTTTTTATTTCATTTCATTTGAAGTATTATTTTTTTTATTTAATTTTATATTAAATTGAATTTGATTTTATTTTTTAAATACATACAAGTATGTATTATACAAATGAAAGCGTAAAATATATGTAATATTTATACATACATATTTAAATTTTTTATTTCTTTATTTAAATTATTTGCTTTTTTTAATGTATTAAAATTTATTTGCCTTTTTTATTTTAAATAATTTATATTTAATTTTATTGTTTCAATTTTTTAATGTAACATATATATTTATTTTTTATGTTAACTTTTTTTTGAGTTTATTAAATTTTTTATTTTCATTAAAATATTTTTTTATTTAATTTTTTATTTAATGTTATTTTTCTCTTATCTAATTAATTTATTTTAAATTTTGTTTTATTTTCACTGTTTTTATTAATTTTTGTTTTTGGTTTATTTTATTTAATTTCGTTTTGTGCTCTTATTTTTTTTATATTAAATTTTATTTTAGTTATTGATTTTTTATTTATTTAATTTTGTGCTTAATTTTATATCAATTTAACTTTGGTTTTATTTTATTTTAAATCGATATGTATGTATAATTTTTTTTAATTTTTTATTTATTTTTATTTATTTATGTTATCTATTTTTTTATTATTATATTTAATTTTTATTTGATTTTAATTTTATTTTATATTAATTTAGTTTACTTTATTTATTTTAATTTTTTTCAATTGACGCTTTAATTTGTTAATTTTATTAATTGTATTCATTTTTTTGATTTAAATATATATTTTTTTGTTTTTTTTTTTTAAAGAAATCTTATCATTCTTTTTGGAGAACCCTAAAGTTTCTGCTCTTACCCCTGCAGCACTCGTCTCGCTTTGTGCAAAGTTTTTGACAAATTTTCGGTTTATTTAAATCTTTTTGTTTGTTAATTTCTGCCACTTTAGCTCTCAGCACAATCAGAAACTTTTCCAGCACACGATTTGTTAAATTTTATTGTGATTTGTTTTTTTTTTTTTTGTACACTTATTTTATTATTTTTGCTTTGCTCACATGGCGACGTTGTCAAATTTGCGCTGATGTCAGCTCATGTTAACGTCATGTGTGACAACTTTTTTTTATTAAAATATTTTTACTATTAATAACACGTACACAACGTTACTGCAGTTTTCATGACAATTTTAACCGAAATTTCCTTTTCTCCTCCCCTAATCACCGTAACGACAGTTATTGTCTTTAAATTCAAATTTAATTCACTCATTATTTGTCATTAAGCCACACAAATCATTTAAGTGCTTATATATGTAAGTATTTGAATTGCCGTTTCTCCCCTCAGCTGGGTACTTAGAAGCTCAAAATCAACAACAACAATATCTGCTTTATTAAACGACATACTAGTTGGCTTGTTAGCATATCTTATCTGTGCACAAACATCGCTCTGCATGCTCATGTTCTGAGCCTATAATAACATACTTCATCGCCAAGGGTTAAGACAATCTTTGCTGTGAATATTTTTCTTAATGCAACTGAAGGTGTATGCAAAAGTATGTACGGCTGTATCTGTGTTGTAGTGTGTATCTGTGTCTTTACGCCAAAGACATCACGCACCTTGTGTGCTGCTGTCATCTAATGCCACGTAATTAGAGACTAACCACAGTTTCCCATGTTCAATTAAGGTGTGTTGTTGCTGCAGCGGGCGTTGGTTTCTTCTACAACAGATTTCCTCTTCTGCGCTATCGACATTTTCATCTACCCAACTTATGGCACGTCACAGCTTGTTGGTTATTACATAAATCTGAACTACTAAAGTCTGTCAATGTCAATGTTTTGCATTGCCCGACATGCTTGTGCATTCTCCATGCAGCTTGCTGAGGCTCAGCTACCCAGTAGACATTTGTGTTTGAGTTTAAGTTATGAAATGAAATATATCCAACGTTTCTCAACAGCAACTCAACACAAGTGTGGTGGAATTCGCAAGTAAAAGAATGGTAGCTTCAAGTCACTTGTTCATAGAGATTGAACGATTTTTATAAAATAATTAACCTCAACTTGAGTTTTATATAATTCATATAATTTTGAAACTTATCGAGAGGCTAGATTACTAGTATCAACAGTTGTTGATTAGCAACTTTACATAAGAGCTCTCAAACTCTCACAAATCGTATTGAGAAAATAACTCGTTAGAGAATGAAAAGTATCTCAAACATTTGAGAATCACTGGAGAAAATGTTTGATACCAGTTTGAGAACTACTTTTCAGTTTCACAAAAGTAAAAGAAATATATTTTACGCGTATGCTGGGTAGACAGGCTTTTGAATTAGAAGCACTCATACAAACGTTCATGTTAAACAAAACAAATTTATGGCTTACATTTTCTTTCGTTCGTTGCCTTGTAAATGGATTATGCTGTTGGTTGTTTGGTAAATATGTAAGCATTTTTTGTCCTGCATTTTTGTTTTTATTGCTCTTAGCATTTAAAATGTCATTACGTTTCTAAGTTTTTGTTAATTTGTCTTCACGCCGCTGGCGTCTGTCACGTCTACCACAACTGTCAGCAACACCTTTAAATCCACTAAATCATGTTGATTGTAGTAACAGCAGCGGCATTGCTCCTCTGCTATCTATACTTCTATCTCGGGGAGATTATCGTTCTCAGCCATTTCAGAGATTCACTCTCTTTCTTGCACTAATTCTATGTTATTGATGCTTGTTAATTTTCTAATTTTCTCTTTTTAATTGTGTTTTTTTTTTCTTTCAGCACATTCATCATATCCACAGACTGGGGATTTTTTTCCTGCCCTTAATGAGTTCTCAAGTCATTCCGTGATACGCCCAGAGGTTTGGCATGGGCGACATAAACGCGCTATGCGTAGCACATTGGATGCGGAGGTGAGTAGAAGAAGTAACCACTCGCGATATACACAAATTGATTTTAGAAAAACTCCAAGAAGCTATATAAATCCAACAAAATCTATAATATATATAAATTTTTTTATTTAACAAATGTTCTATAGAGTCGTAGGAAAAGGATCTTAAATTTATTAAAAAAGAATACTATTTAAAAAAGATCCAAAAATCAAAATTATAAGAGCGTTTTTCAGCATTCGAGGTTAGGAATTTTGTCGCAAAGCGCTAGATTTCATTACAAAAAAGTCTCATGAATCTGAAATGGCTCATGGTGAATAAATTCCTTACCAAGAATTCTGTAAATACATAAAAATGACCACCTTAGTCCCCTAATATTGCACAAGTTATCCGTTGATGGAGACATAAGAGAGAATTCGTTGTGAGTACTAAAGTTCAGTGGCAATATTGAGCACTGGAAACAAACTAAACAGCAGATCGCGCTCAAATTTAACGTCACTGTAGAAAAAAGTTGTGTCAATTTAGCGGTGAAAAAGAATTTCGACAGTTACTTTAAGTGAACTATTTAAAGCATCAATTCCCGGTACTTTTTTGACAGATTGCAATTACTCCGACTGAGATGTTCCAGGTTCTGGAAGTATACATATAAAAGGCGTAAAAGCTAAAGTAGGCGAGAGATGATCATTTCATGCAAGCTGGAAACGCTTTTGGTTTATTCAAGGTTGTTGTTGTTGTAACCACAAAAATATAGCCCAAAGTAGTTTTTGGGGACTGTTGTGGGTGTGACAGTCTTTGGCCGGATAAAAATCCGGATCGTTACGGTATACAGACCCGACTGTCGCGGGAATTATTAGACTTTTGTCGCCTCTTACGACAGGCTCGCCTTACTGCGGGTAAATTCTTCAACGCCTAATACGCAGCAAAATTTTTTTGCTGCTAATTAGTGGTTGTGAAGGTCAGGTTTAGAATAAGGAGCTGAATATATTTATATATATATATATATTTTTTTTTTTTTTTTTTGGAAACAACTGAAATCTATAGCTTATAGTAATTTGGGATCAGAGAAGATATTACAAATTCATTCAAAGCCGATCGAAATCATGTGATGGGCAATTTGACGTCTGATCTACGGAAATGATACTTGTGCACCTCTAACTACCAATCCACTGCTTTCCCTTTACTGTATACCCCACATATGAGGCACAGATAAACTATGGTGTGGCACGCCAAGTGAGGTTCTAAGTATGATACTCAAGATTTTGGTACTGGATTCGGTGGCACATCAGTCGGCAGCAATGACTGCACTTCGTCTGAGAGAGAGTCAAATTAATAGTCCACCCAGGTATGGAGACACTAAACAATACGGGGTAAACACGAATTCATATCAATTTATAAGGATAGATGTGGTCCAATAGTAGTGTAAGTAACTGATAACCAATTAAGAATACGAATTCCCAGCAGGGAAGAAATATACACGAACGAGTCAAAGCTTGAGGGGAGAGTTGGTGGAAGTTTCTTCTCAGAAAACCCTCCGATGGAACTCTTCTTCAGGTTACCTGATCATTAAAAAAAGGAAACATATGCAAAGTTATAGAAGTTCTAACAGGCCGCTGTCTGCTAGGGCGCCGCGCAGGAGGACTAGGGACTCCCTACAGAAAATGCTGCAGAAGCTGCTAGGAGGATGAAGAGGAGCAAATGATCACACGTCTCTTATGCGACTGTCCTCCACTAACCAAGGTGAGGTTTCGTAATATTGGCACCCCTCAAAGTTATGGATCTCATGAGATTCATTAGAGAATCAAAATGGATGGAGAATGGAGCCTGATGGCTTGAGTTTGGGAATGGGTCTTAGTCACGCCTAAGTGAATCCGGTCTGTTAGATCGGTAGCCACCGCAACCTAACCTATCCTAATCTCTGATCATTTTCAAATACCAACTCTAAAAGATGAGTCCTCTCTATCTTCGATATAATCATTAAAACATTATGCGGTTTTTTCAAAAAATTCCGTCGCAAACCTCCGTAGTCAGAATGGCCAAGATAAAGTGGGTGTAGCGGCTGAGGTAAGATCTTCCATTTCAGCGTATCCAGTAGTTTTTAACTATTATAATTACATAGAACCCTTAATTGTCATGTCGAAAAAACGCTTTGTCATGACCTCCTGCCGTTTTGCACGCAATGAATGGCTCAAAGGCATTCGTTGAAAAGGTTTCGCCTAGTTTTAGCTGCTCATAGTACAGCATACCCCTTTTGGTCCCACCATATGCAAGGGAAACTTCCCGTAAGTGCAGTTTATTCATCACAAATCCGAGCATTTTCAAAGAGGCAAAAAATAATGTTGTCAGAAACAGGCTCATGCACACGAATTAGTTTGGACAGATATGAATCCTTTCCAAGATCGTCCCCAACTTGTGAGTGCGTCCATCTTTTGCGAGCGTACTGATAAAATGAGATCTATTTCTGAACAAATCTAGCTTTACAACTTCAACTGTCGAACCTATAAGAAAATTTAGGGAATAAGCAGGTTTAATAAGTGAAAATGTTTTAGCCGCTTCCGAACGGTTGATGGATTTTTATTTGGAGCTTTAAGTTCAAGCCAGAAATTCACTCGAAGAAATTGATATTCCCCGCTGAGAAGTGATCGCATAATGCAAAGAATTCTTTAAATATTTGAGCCAAAACTTTTAATTGTTTTCAAGCTACAAATCAAATCGAAAACTGATTTCCAAAGGAATTACATCACATGCTTCACTTCCTTCACCCATCGAAATCTTGAATGTGCCGCCATTAGCTTTCCAATTTAAAATTCAACCTCAGTGCTTCATAAAACAACAAAGTATGCTGTCAACTACTCTTTTATTTATAAATATGAGTGATGACAAAATAATGCACGGTCTGCTGCTCTCTATTTAGCCCAGTGACAGCTTCCAAGGTTGTGGTACACCTTTTTCGCCATTTTTCATTTCACAAATGCTCCTTTTCGCATATTTCTCTGTTATGGAAATGTTCAAAAACCATTTAGGTAAATTGCAAAACGCCCACAATTTGCATGTTGAAATTAAATTTGTCTGCTGTAATATGATCGACCGCCGGACAATTAAATATTATTAAACACACATTTAATGGGTTGTTGGTGTTTAACGGGTCGATGGTCAAAGAGTGTTTGAATGGTTGCTGACGGTTCTGGGTTAAAGGTATGCTGATGTTTGCACGTTTGATACCGCTTGGTGTATGTATATGTACATAATGTAAATTAGTCCTGTTGACCAATTAATTAAGCAAGGTGCGACATCCTACATACCAGCTCAACGAAAAATGGCATTAAATGTAGTTCGAATGTGATATTTGTTTAATTTTAATAAAATATTCAATGGAAAAATCCATAGAATGGTTGAGCTTCGTTGCTTTAACAGTAAAATTTAGCTTAAAAATTTAAATGGAAAATTTTAAAAATTATAAAAATATTAGAATTTCAGTGAAAGAAACCTAAAAATAGAGTTTTCATAAATATTTATAGATAAAAATTGTTTAAAAAATCTGAAAAATTCTTTTGAGATAAAAAGTATTATGAAACATTGAAAAAAAGGTATTTATGAGATTCAATCAGGAATGTCAAAAAAAAAAATTCAAATAAGAATAAAAAATCTACGCGGTTTTTGTCTCTAGATTGCGTTAAGGGGCACACCTAGTGTAATGGCCTAAAAAAAGGTGATTTTTGAGAAGTTTTATTAAAAAAAATACTTTATCAATTATTTCCAAATTTTAATAATATATTTATACATGTTGCAAGAATATACAGTGAAATTTTTGAAGAAAAAAATTAAATATTTTTTAAGTTATAGTCGATCTCTAACGGCGCATTGAATTTTACCCAAAATTATGGTCGTTTTTGGCCTGCCAAAATTCGATTTTTTGGTCAGATCAAAAATCGACAGGCCTTTGTACGGAGAACTATATATAGAACATGTAAAAAAATTCGATAGTGATCGGATCATTTGTTTTTGAGTAATCGCTCCAGCAAATTCGGAAAATGATGTTTCGAGAAAAACGCGTTCAAAGATAAAATGATCGTTTTCACTCGTAGCTAATGAGACTCTCTAGCTGCCGAGCGGCTGCTCTTTAAATTGCTATAACTCAAAAACTATTTGAGATATCGATTTGAAATTTCAATATGTTATTTTTTATTTTTAAAGGTGTAATCTACCGAAATATGAAAAAAGATCGATTTTTTGAAATTTAACACTAGGTGTGCCCCTTAATACTCTTATTTTGGGACACGTGTTTGAAAGTTAAAAATATATTAAGGTTATCGATGAAAAGTTAGTGAACGCCCGGGAGTGGTTTGCTTGATTTCGTTCCATAAATTTTATTGTCAAAGTTGCACAACATGTTAATCGGCCAGTCACTCAAACAACCGATGATATTCTAAAACTGGCAGAGCAATACCGGCGTACAAGCTGTCAGAAGTTAGAGAAGGTTTGAGGCAAAACTAATGCCACAGTTTGATATCATTTAAAAGAAGAAAAGAGCTCTTGTGATGCTTTTTTGGCTCAAAACCATTGGATAGGAGCTAAATGTTGTAGTCGTCCGATTTCAATGATTTTCGGTGAGAAAGTTTTGTATTTTTTTTTTTTTTTTTGTTTTGAGGGGTCCATTTCTTCTCTTTCTAAATAAAAAAATAATATATCATTTCATTTATGTATGTACATATGTACATGAAAAGTTTAAAAAGACTGGCTCTTCAAAGAAGCTCGATGCTTGGGTACCACATAAGTTGACAAAAGCAAAAATGGTTTACGGAAGATGCGTTTACAGGTCATTCAGTTGAATTCTTTTTAGGGTTTTTTTAGTTTTATGAAACTGTCTCAATAAAATGCTTCTAAAATGCAGCAATCGTTTTCTGAGGTAACTCATCCGGGGCGTTGAAAAATGTTCAATTAAGCCGTTGTAAGACGGAAAAACTCTTCGAAAAAGTACATTCAGAATTTGGTCATGTTTGATGATCAGGCAAAAATGACACAGCTTGGTTTGAAACTTTCGTTGCAGTGGCTCGTTCTCTGTACCATATGACTGCCATTTACTTCGGTCTCTACAAAACTCTCTTGAGCGTAGAAGACTTCAATGACCGAAGAGCCGCAGAAAATCTTTTTGCCTGGATATTTCGGTGATAAAGTACAAAAAAACTCTACTAATATAATTAAGAAACTATCCGAAAGGTGGGAAAAGGTCGTAGAAAATATGATTAAAATTTATTTTGAACAATCAAATGTCCAACTTTGCTTCCGCCGTTTTTTCCAAAATTAAAAGCTCTATTGCGAAAAAGCGCTTACAGATATATTATTCAAAGTATTGTCCTTCGCTAGCGACAACTTTCTCCCATATTTCCTCCAATTTTCGGATCCCGGCTCGAAAAAAGGAGTCCTTTTTTGACGCTATCCATGTAGCAATCCATTTTCCAATTCTTCGAAGGATTGAAAATGTTGATCTGCCAGGCCGTGTGCCATCGAACAGAATAGGTGGAAGTCAGAAGAGGCGACGTCTGGGAAATACGGCGGGTGGGGCAAAACTTCCCATTTCAACGTTTCCAGGTACTTTTTGACCACTTTTGCGACGTGAGGCCGAGCATTGTCGTGTTGGAGGATGACTTTGTCATGTCGCTCTTGATTTTGTGGCCGCTTTTCTTTTTGCGTTCGGTAGCGATCTCCTGTGATGGTTTCATCCGTAGTTTCGTAGTAAATCACACCGAGCTGATCCCACCAAATACAAATCATAACCTTGTTTGTATTCGACATCGAAATCACCATTTTTAAAACGTTTAAACCACTCCCGACACGTTCTCTCACTCAGAGCGCCATCACCGTAAGTTTCTGAGAGCATTCGATGCGCTTCAGCTGCATTTTTTTTCGGATTGTAACAGAAAAGTAAAACTTCCCACAAATGGCGAGAATTAGGCACATAAACGGACATTTTCGAGGGTGAATAATATGAAAACAAGATCAACTTTCACTGAAACGGCGATGACAATTGGTTAGGCACTGTCCACACTCACTTTAAAGGCATTATCATCTATGTATTTCAATCAGCCTCCGCCGGTACAGCCACCTAACGGAAAACGGCGGAAACAAAGTTGTACACCTGATAAGAAAAAAAAAAATTAAAAAAAACGAGAATTTTTAATTATTTCAAAATCTCTTAACAATTTTACACAATTATTAAATATAAAAATATAAATAAAAATAAAAAAAAAAAGAAATGAGTTATTTGAATAGATTCGTTGAGGTATGACTATTATATGTATGTATATTACTCAATATATGCCACATACTATATATATATAAATATTCTTACATTAAAATTTCATATTTTGCTAACATTTTCCATCTTTTTTTCCACCAGGATAGCCAACATGTTCCGCACATCACACTCACGTACCAGCATGAAGGTCAACGCGTACAAATTGACCTGCATCGCAACGATGAGTTACTGCCAGCCGAGCATTTTCTCCGCTATCAGAATTCGCACACGCCAACGGGGCGTGTAATAAAAAATTTCACAAAGACTGAATTGGAATTATGTCATTACCAGGTGAGTTAGCTATTCGTATTTGAGAATATTTTTCTCATTTTTTTTGTAGTTTTTCTTGCGAAATATTTTTATTAAAATAGCCATCTCGCACTCTATATATATATAAAATTTTATTAATTTGTTATAAAAAATTTTTTGTTGCCTTTTTCCAGGGCACAATACGCGGCAAACCGCATTCGAATGTTGCCATATCCACATGCAACGGTGGTGGTATAAATGGTGTAGTCTTCGATGGCATGGATACATATTTCATACACTCGGGTAGTGATGGACGTTTGCATGATGATCATTTTTTATTTCGGTGAGTATTAAAACATAAAGTGAGCGAGAGATTTGAACTTGACATTCACTTTGAAATATTCATGTATGTACATATGTATGTGTGTACAAATGTAGACCTACTTATGGCAAATCTGTTTTTGTAATAAGTATTCCCTCGGCTCGGAAGTGTAGTTTTGCCACATCCACTCATGTAAAATGTTGCTTACACACATATGTACAAACACCAACGATTGACTTCACGAATATTTCATGAACCTAAAAATATACTGAAAGCGGGGCTGTTGCAATTTTTAAACAAGTATTTAAAATTAAAAAAAAGCTGTAATCACAACAGACAGACAGCCGAACGTGTTTCTACTTGACTTGCTCTCTGAGAGCACTCACCAGCTACTTGATATAAGAGAATTGCGGGCGGCAACTCAAACTCGCAACGTAACGCCGCTACGAAAACAATTGGTTTTCGGCAGTGCCGGAAAAAGAGGAATGTCGAGCTGCGGTGGAGAGAAAACAAACTGGCTACCTCACAACCTTGTGATCGACCACAACACTTGCCGAAAGCTGAAGAGAGAAACGGTATGCATATGCAGACAAAACAGGAATATACGCAACTTAAAGAAGGTTTGAAGGGCTCAGAGTGGTGATCTAGTGACTGATGTCCAGATTAATTAATGGAGTGAACACTTCTCTAGCTAGCCGATTGACAATGAAAATGTCACACCAGAAGATGGCAAAACCGATTCCCCAAACGAGGACGATGGAAAATATGTTTCACTGCCCGACGGTGAAGAAGTTCAAATAGTAATCACCAGCTTGAAAACCTACAAATCAGCTGGGACTTTTGAATTGCCGGCCGAGCAATACAAAGACGGCGGCAAAGAGCTGATATTATCGAACGTTTTGAGAGGAAGACTAAAGCCCAGCGTCAAATAAATTTGGGAAATCTAATATTAACCAGATATACACCGAGAGTCAAATCTTACAAAATACCCTTGAAAAGAGAATCGACTTACACAACCTTCTCGTCGATTTTAATACAGCCTTCGACAACACGAATAGGAGCTGCCTCAACGCCGTTATGTCTGAAATTGGTATGCCCGCAAGACTTATTTAGTTTTGCAAACTCACGCTGAGCAACACGAAAAGCTCCGACGAAGTTGGGAAGAACCTCACAACTCATTCGATACAAGTCAACACTTCAGACAAGGTAGCTTTTTATCGCGTGACTAGAGAAGATACCATCTTCTATATGAGGGTACAGCTATTGGCGTACGCCGATAATTCATCATTGGCCTTAACAACCGCGCACAGAGTTCTTCTTTCTCCAAACAAGATAGAGAAGTAAACAAATGAGTCTGTTGGTAAGCTGGGCAAGGCGAAATATCTCTTGTTATAAAACAAACAATCACATTTGCGACTCGGGTCTCACGTCACTGTTGACAGTTATCAATTCGTAGTTATTTTTGTCTATCTTGGAACCAACATTCACGCCAACAACGATGTCAGCAAGTAAAGTCCTCTCGGCGAATAAAAACCAAACTCCATAAGTCACTCATCATTACCGTCCTACTATATGGTGCATAAAACTGGACAGTATCGACAACCGAAGAGTAGCCCCTGGCAGTTTTCGGGGGGAAAATATGCCGAATAACTTATGGTTCTTTGCGCATTGACTGCAGCGAATAGCGCAGACGAAGGAACGATGATGTGCACGAGTTATATGGTGACTTTGATATAGTTTAGCAAATATTGGACGCAACGTAATTTGGTTATAAGTTTGCTGGGATTTGCAAATATTGTTTCGGAGTAAGTTTGTTCATTATGAATTGGCAAACTGAACTGAATACCAACGCCTTAAAAATATTGCCTCATCTGAAAAAAAAAACACCTTTTATAAATATCAGTTGAGTATCGAATCCTTACTTGGCGTTTTACAATGACAATTAATCCAAAAAGGGCATACATTGTGCATTAACCATATTTTTGGAGCGTTAATTGTTATTGTCGTTGATATTAATTTATTCACATTTAGTTTAATTGAGATTACATTAGGCTTATCTGCAATTTTTTTTTTTAATTTTAAACTAAAATAAGGTAAGAAAAAACTTTTAACGGTTACTCAACTTCCGTAGTTTAAAAATCAATTTCTTGACGTTCACCGATGATCAAATTTTTAACGTTGCGGTAATAGGACTGCCAGCGGGCTTGAATGAATGAATATTGGAGATAAATATTTTTATGGTTTTAAAATTATGTTTTTTAGAAATTGTCATTTATTAAATATAAAAATGGTAATTAAACTTCACTATCCAATCGCCAAAATACAAAAGAACACTAGTTAAGGTATATAAAATATCCCACTCGGTTAATTAAGCGACTACTGAACATTAATTTTATGCATTGCCTATTGAATTCGTTATACTAAGCCTATTTTTGCTATTTGGGGACGGTTTTCAACCCTTCAAGTGTATTTCTGACATCAAATTAGAGCTCTTCATAAAAAAACCAACAGCTGCTCGGAGGCGACTTTATATTCACTGTACGTCCCACCATCGGCTGAGCCAAAAATCGCTATAGCGATTACAAAGCGTCAATTATATATATGATATAAGGCAAACACAATTACCAAAAATAAATTTCCGTTCATGCCAACCACGTTTAAGAATAACTTCAAATTGGCATGCTTTTTAGCCCAAACATCGCCACTATTCCCACCATGCCTTCAGACCTCGTAGCTGTCTGGTCTGTCTGTTTTTTTTTTTTTTTGTTTGCAATTCGCAAGCCATCAACGTGATTGACTCTGTCATCCAACCAGCTACATGCTCACAGTCAACTTCTGTGCGTGCGACCACGTTTTGAGTCAATATTTGGTCAACACATATCTGTAAACAAGCCGACGCTCTTTTTAGCCACTTTAACGAGCTTGACGTCCGAACGCCAACGCGCTGCTGAGCGATAGTTGGTCTTGTGAGTAAAATAAATAAATGGCTTTTATATATGTATGTCTATATATCCGCACATAGATATTTGCATATAAATTTCATGCTACTTTTCTGTCTTCCGTTTTAACTTCCGTTTCGGGTAGAAAATATTTGCAAAAACAGTTAGTCTGAAATGTGCTGACTAATTTTAAAGGGTTCTCGCTATTTGAAAAGACATAAAAAATAAAAAATTAACTTAGTTCTCCATAAAAAAGATATAGTAATTTAATGTTTTACATAAATAAATGTCATCTTTTTCATTCTCCTTTATAGACACGTTGATTTGTTGAATAAAAATGCCACGTGCGGCTATAATACGGTTACCGACAACCACGTCCACTTACATGATGATCATGTCAAGGCTGAAAATTTATTGCAAGAACGCGATGAGCCACCTCAAGTGCCAATTCACTTGGATGGCTCGGAATTCAATCGAATTTTAAGGGTAATTTTTTTAAAATAAAAAATATAATTATAATTATACATATGGATATGTATATATATATTCTTAATAAATAATTTTGTTTGCAGTATAAAAGATCCTATGAGAATAATGATGTGATACGTGGTCCCTACAATGCCAACAAACATTCATCTTATGTGGAATTAGTGATTGTGGTTGATAATAAAGTCTATAAATCTTTTGGGGAAAGTCCAAGGAAAGTGCATCAGCATTGCAAGGATTTGGCTAATATAATTAATGCGGTAAGTTGTACGGTGAAAAGCAAAATCTTAAGTGAAAAGTTAGATGACATAATACGGAAATAATTAGAAAATATATAAAATTTGCTTCGAAGAATTATTTTTTTTTTATTTTCATTTTATAAAACTTATCTCCGTTAACTTAAAAATAATTAGGTGTGTATCTCTGCTAAGGTCAGCCTGGATGTAGGCAACGTTTTATTTTTTATTTACTACCTACCAAGTGTTAATGCTGCCTACATTTAGGTGTAACAACTTTGCAAAATTAACCTCGACGATTTTCCAAAACATTCAGTTTCAATCTCTAACTAAAAATATCAAATTACAAATTGAATATTAGTACTAAATTTACACAAATTAATCGTGGTTTCCTTCTCTCAGTTATACGTGCCCTTAAATATCTTTGTTGCGTTGGTGGGCGTGGTCATCTGGAATGAGTACAACGAAATTGAATTCTCTACCGATGGCGATTTGACGTTGCGTAATTTCCTCAACTATCGACGAACAAAACTGGTGCTTGATCATCCCAATGATAATGCGCAATTGCTAACCAAAGAGAATTTTAGCGGCGGTGTTGTCGGTAAGTCAAATACAAAATTTAATTCTTTAAAATTCAACTAATACATACCCCATGAAACATCTGCAGGCAAAGCGCTGAAAGGTCCCATATGCACGCATGAATACTCCGGTGGCGTTTCCAATGAACATAGCCAAATTGTTGCGGTGGTCGCCACGACCATGGCACACGAGATGGGTCACAATTTTGGCATGGAACACGATTCATCCGACTGCCGTTGTCAGGATGAAAAATGCATAATGTCCGCCTCGTCCACCTCTGTGGTGCCGGTGCATTGGAGTAGCTGCAGCATTGACCAACTGAATATAGCCTTCTCACGCGGCATGAACTATTGCCTGCGTAACAAACCCACCAAACTGTTCGAGTCGCCGCAATGCGGTAATGGTTTCGTAGAGCCCGGCGAACAATGTGATTGTGGGTTGCCCAACTATTGTGAAAATACCTGCTGTGACCCGTACACTTGCATGCTGCACACGAATGCCTCGTGTGCCACTGGTGAATGCTGTGATTTGAGTACATGTCGTCCCAAAGCGGCCGGACAGGCGTGCCGTGTGGCAGAGAATGAGTGTGATTTGCCTGAATTCTGTACTGGTGAATCGGAGTACTGTCCAGCAGATGTGTTCAAACGTGACACCGAAGAGTGTGACAGCGGTCAAGCGTATTGCTTTGAAGGCAATTGCCGTTCGCATTCGCAACAATGTCGCATACTATGGGGACCGACGGGCGAGAGTTCGGAGCATTGCTATAGTAAGAATACGGAAGGCAAGCGAGGCGGCAATTGTGGCTTCGATCGAATCAACAATACATTCATACGCTGTGAGGATGAGCACGTACGTTGTGGAATGTTGCATTGTCGGCATTTGAATGAGCGTTTGGAATTCGGCATGGAATCGGCAGCGGTATTGTCGCATTCATTCATCAATCATGAGGGCAATATAGTGCCGTGCCGCACAGCATTAGTCGATTTGGGGCTGCAGAGCACCGATCCGGGGCTAACACCGAACGGCGCCAAGTGCGGCGATGACAAAATGTGTGTTAACCAAAAGTGCCTGACGATAGAGCGTGTGCGTGCCACGGGGCTCGGCAAGCAGTGTCCAGATAATTGTAATGGCAATGGTGTATGCAATAGTTTGGGTAATTGTCACTGTCATGTGGGCTATGCGGGAACGACATGTCGTGTGCCAGGACCTGGTGGCTCCATCAATAGTGGACCGGCAACATCACCGACCAGTGAGTATTTGCTCTTCTCTTTGATTTTAATTTTAATAAATAATTTTTCATTCATTTTTTCAACCCCCACAACAGGTCATCAAGCCTTCCAGAACTTCATGTATATCTTCTTCTTTGGCGTCATACCATTTATGGTGCTCATCATCTGGCTCACATACTATGTACGCAATCGACGCTTCTTCTTTGGCGGCAAACTGGCCGAAAATATGTATGTATCCACGCCGCACAAGTCGGTTTGCTCATTTACTACTTCCACTAGCAATACAACTACTTCCTCCCATTCTTCCAATACTTGCTCTAACTTATCTTCTTCTTCAACTGCATCTTGTGCATCGTCTGCGAGCGTAAATAATAAACTAAAGGGCACAACACTTGGCTCCTGTGCTAAAAAACGGGGCCAACAACAACTCAAACATTCAAATACATTCAACACAAGCACACAATCGTATGCTTACACTAGCATGAACACTGCAACAACAACAGCAACAACAACAACAACAACAGCCACTACATTAGCCACAAATGCACTAAAACCCCATAGCGCCTCCACTAATAATTTAGCGCGTATTCATAATAATTTGTATTTAACCAAAAGTAAAACTAACGAAGATTTTAATAGTATTAAACCCAATAATAAAATCGTATCGGTGGCGGACATAAAAACAAATTTCACACAAAATAGCATAAACAGACCAATAAAGTCAGCAGCAACACCAACGAAAATTCCCATTGTACCAGTTAGTAATACGTATACAACAACACCAACAGCAACACTCAAACGTAAACTTAGAGCACCAACAACAGCAACAGCAACTACACTCAGTGCAAAAGATAGGCAACAACAATTGCTTGCTAATAGTGATATGACAGGGAATAACAGTCAAAATAATACATTACGTCGTAAGCTAGAAATTACGGATATTCGCTTACAAGCTACAACAAATCCAAATGCACTTTGTGATGGTGCACAATTCATAGCGAGCGATCGTGATAGGTGTGTCCAGACTTTGACGAAGAAAGGAAATCTAAAATAGCATGAACTCGGAATATCAGCCTTGGCGATGATTGCAAATCAACAAAAAAAAAATACTTCAATACATACACATCTACATATATACATACATAATGTACATTGTATGTAACAACAAAATCTATGTCGATAGGCGTAATGATTGAAAGAAAAAATAAAATACCTAAACCTAAAACTCTAGCTGTGCGAATTCGTACCTTTTTCCAAAAACTTTGATCAAACTATGAAATATAGTGAAAAAAGCACAATTAAATAACTCTTTACGAGCCATGTCGACACAGATTTTTCATATTTATATGTATATAAAAATTACTACAAATCGAATATATAAAAAATTGGTTGCTGTTGCTGACTTTTTTGCTGAACTGCGCTCTACCTTTGCTTTGAATGCATGCATTTTCTTGCATGACATTAAATTATTATTATTTTAATTTTATATACAAATGTTTTTAGGCACTTTACAATCTTGGATATTTATTATTCCTTATTCCTCCGGTTGACAATTTCTAACCCAAAACTCTCTTTTTTACCGGAATTTAAAACGTTGGGAGCGTTTTTGTAGTTATTATTTGAGAAAAAAATTATTTTTTTGTTATTTATGAGTATTTCTTTCTTCCATATTTAATTCTACACAGAAATTACAACGGACATTTTTGTATATCATTTTCACCGGTACTTTTTTAATTCTTCTTTATTTCTATGATTCATGTCGGATTTTTTTACGAGTTTTATTTTCGTGATTGTGAAAAAAATAATATATATATATATATATATATATATATATATATAATATATATAATAAAATATATTGTTAATTAAAAAATAATAATTAAAGAAATATTAGAAAAAAATTGCCAAACTAAATTAAAATGAAATAAAATTGAATTAAATATATTAAATAAAATTATATTTAAATGTATAAAGATAAATCAAATAACAAAAAATGGAATAAAATAAAATAAATCAACATAAAATAATAGGAATAAAATAGAACAAAGTATAATAAAATAAATTAAAATTAATTAAAATATGACATAAAATAAACTAAAAAAAAAATTAATTAAAATAAAATAAAATAAAATAAAATAAAAAAAGTAATTAAAGGAAAATAAACCAAAATAAAAATACATAAAAGAATAAAATGAAATTAATTTAAAAAAAAATTAATTAAAATAAAATACAACAAATAAATTTAAAAAAATTGGTGTAAAATAAAATTATAAAATAAAATAAACCCCCTGCGGGTTAGGGGTTCAAGAAGGCATGCCTGTCGTAAGAGGCAACTAAAATCCAATTATTCCCGCGGCAGTCGGGTCTTTATTCCGGAATGACCCACAAAACTACTTTGGGGAATATTTTTGCGGTTACAACAACAACAATATATATAAATTAAAAATATAAAGTAATAAAAAAATAGAATGAGATATAAAATAATACAATAAAATTAAATAAAATATAAAAATGTTAAATAAAATCAAATCAATTAAAATTAAATAAACTATAATAATATGAAATAAAATGAAGTAGAATAGAAAAAAATAAGTAAAATAAAATTTAATAAAATAATGTAGAAGAAAATAAAATAAATTAAAGGAAAATGAAATGAAATAAACTAAAACTTAATAAAAATTATAGTACAAAGCAAATTAAATTAAAATAAGTTAAAATAAAACAAATAAATTTAAATAAATTGGTATAAAATAAAAAATATAAAATAAAAGAAAACAAAATAATATTAAAATGAAATGAAATTAAGTTATATAAAATTAAATTAATTTAAATTAAATTAAATAAAAACATATTGAAATGAGATGAAATAAAATAAAATTAATTAAAAAATAAATTAAATTAAAAAAAGATATCATATAATAAAATAGATAAACGAAAATGAAATGAAATTTAATGAAAGAAAATAACATAAAATGAAAAAATAAAAAAAAACGAAAAAAATAAAATAAAGGTAAATAGCTGAAAATAAAAATAAAATAAAATAGTTAAAAATAAAAATAAAATAAAATAGTTAAAAATAAAAATAAAATAGTTAAAAACGAAAATAAAATAAATTAATTAAAAATAAAAATAAAAAAAATAAGAATAGTAAAATAAAATTAAATTAAAATAAGTAAAATAAAATAAAATCCAAGAAAAAAATAAAGAAAAATGAAAGATTTTAAAATAAAATAAAATGAAATGAAATAATATATAAGAAAACAAAATACAATAAAAAAAACAAAAACGAATTAAAAGAAAATAGCATAAAATGAAAAAAAAAAATAATATAATATGAAATATAAAAATAGTATAAATAAGATGATATAAATTAATTAAAATAATATAAAATAATATATAAAAAAGTAAAATAAAATAAAAAAAAATAAAATAAAAAAATAAAATAAAATAAAATAAAATGAATTAAAATAAAATAAAATAAAATAATATAAAATAAGATAAAATGAAATGAATTAAAATTAAATTCCAATAAAAAATTAGCAAAATAAAAGAAATAAAAATAAAATAAATCAATTAAATAAAAGAAATTAAATATGATATAGATAGTAAAATAAAATATATAAATAATAAAATAAAATATATAATTAATAAAATCAAATATATAAATATTAATGAATATAATAAAAAATCCAAATATAGTACATTTTCCGGTTTTTAAACTCCATTTTTGTGCGATATAATCGATGCCTACAAATACCAAAATCTTTCATAAATCAAATTTCGTATGCATGTAGATGTAATGAACAGCTCCTTAGATGTAGGTTTAGTTAGAAAAAGTAAAAGTATTTGTTTTATTCCTTATTTTTTATTTTAATTTTTAAATTATTTACTATTTTTATAGTTTTGTGATTTGAATATTTGTTGTATTTATTTAAAATTCAATCAAAAGTATATAAATACAGATGTACTTTTTCCGTTTATAGCTTTTAATAAAAATGTGATGTTTCATCAATTTATGTGTTTTCGTTTTCCTACACTCTCTTACATAACTTCATACATTTGGTGAATGTTTCTAATAACTTCTTTTAGCTTGCATGTTTGTAGCATAATTTATTTTATTTGAAATAAATACGTTGTGGTGTTGGTTAATATAATTTTCGCGGGCACTGTACCATTTTAACTGAAGCTTTTTACAATTGGCGCTGGTATGTTTATTGTTTCAAATTATTTCTTCTGATTGATTAACAAACTAATATTTGTTTATTTATTTTTTAAAATACTAACAAACTCACAGTCAAAAATATATATTTAAAAAAATCAAAATATGAATCGTCCAGAATCCCAAAATTAAATTTCCTATACATACATATGTACATATATATTTTCTTTATCATACTTTTGCTAAAACCAATATTTTCTCTATCTCTCTTCCAGCATTAAAGCCGCCAGTGGTAAGCAACAACCCGCTCGGCCTGATCACGGCCCACATGGTGGTGGCGGTAGCGGTGGCAACAATGGTAGCGTTGGCGTAAACAGCCTTCCCAAGTCAACGCCCAGCAGTACGGATGATATGAATTCCGCGCTGCTGAAATCCCCCAGCGATTCGAATGACACCTCTGTTGGCAATGGCATGTTCGGCAAATTCAAAGGCTTCACACTACGCCCGCTTAACGATACCACCTCGCCGACCAACAATTTCAACGCACCCAATGTTGCTTATGTACAGCCCACTGTACAGGATACGGCAACCTTGAATGGAGGTGTGCCACAACGCTCTGCGCCACCACCACCACTCATTAAAGGCTCCAGCTCAATGGATGCATCACAGTCCAATCGTTGGATGCCACCACCAACAAATGCTAATGCCGCTAGTGCACCCGCACTACCACCACCTAATCCAGGCTCGAATGCCCGCCCGATCATATCGATGCCAGTGCTGGAGAATTCAACGATGACCCTACCGCTTCGACAGTCAAGCGGTGAGATGTCACCAACGCGTGCCGCCCCCTTACCGCCTGGTACGAGTGCTGGCCAATCTGGTTCGCTACCACGTCCGGCGCCACCACCGCCGGTGCCTTTACATGCAGATCCCAAATTGAATGTGAAACGCGATGGCACCATAAGACGTATAGCGTCCTTCCTGAAAAAGGAGGAGAAGGCACCGCTAAAAGAGAAAACCTATATTGATCGTGAAAAGCTGAAGAATATTGAGATATCCGCGCCAATGCCTGTTGCGCCACAAGGCGAATCATCCAACTCGGACTCTGAGACCACGCCAAAGGAGGAAGAAACTAAAAATCTGGTGAAGCGCGCACAGTCCATGCGATCGCCAACAAAGAAGACAAATATACAGACATTCGGGTCTATGCGTTACGCGCCCGGTAGCGCTCGGCCAAAGAGTGTAGCGGCAGCCGCAGCTGCCTCACGTCCTAAAAGCCCACCGCCGCGTCCACCACCATTGAAGAAAACCAATTCGACAACTTCCTCTGGCTATGCATTGCCGGTTGGTACTGCCAAGTCGAGCGTGGATAATACTTATGATGATTGCGAGTTCGTCGAAAAGCCGCTGACCACAGTAGGCGAATCGAATGAAGTCGATTCGCCCACCTCAACGGATAACATCTATTCGGTTATTGATGAAATACCGCCCGCAGCACAAACAGTAAAACGCAGCGATTTCATAAGTGAAAACAGTGAGATGGGCTTGTTGGGTGAGATAGTGAATGAAATTGAGAAACGTAATGGCGACTCCATTTACACCGCATCAACGCTCGTAAAGAATAAGTCGCCAAATGCTGATGAGACAAAAAGCACAGCGGCCGCAGTGAAGACAAAGTCAAGCGCGCCAACAGCGCCAAGTGCTAATGCCAACCCAAACGTGGAGAAGAACGCGGTAAAGGCAACCGCCAGTGCGTCTGCGCCTGCAGCACAAACTGTGCCTACCTACCTACGACCGGCGCCAGTGAACGCGCCAGTTGCGCGTGTAGCGCCCACGCGCGCCGATCTCACAAACGCCACCACAGCGTTCTCCAGCTTTAAACCCTCTAACGCTGCGCCTGTAGCAACAACAACAGCATCGGGGAGCAACAGCGTCACCGCTATAAATAAAACGAATGCAGCGGCAACTAATCGGCTGAACAGCAATAATAGCACAAGCACCAACGCGGCAGCAAGAAATCGTTTATTTAATAAAACGCCTAGCACTACGACTGCAACGCCAACAAATGCAACACGCAGTAACAGCACAGCACTGCCCTCCGCCACAATAACAAAACCCAAGCCGCTCTCCGCGAAACCCTCATTCAACAGTCAAAAGAAGGTGACGCCCGCGCCCACCGTCGCTGGTACTACAGCTGCGGCAGCGCGCTTGGCCGCCACTGGCACGCCACGCACAGCGCCCACTATCAAGGCGAGCAACATAGCATCACTAACGCAGCGTTTCGAGAAGAACGCCACAAGTACCGGTGCGCGGAAATAAGTTAAACAGAAACGCGCGTTTTGGACTTGCAATTGAGTGACTGCATATGCTTCTTCTTCGTTGGATTTGCTTAGCATAAGGCTTAAGTAAAGAAGCGGCGACACATAAGTTTTATCTTACATACATAAACCAAACTGATATTTATTACTACTTACAAATATACTTGTATATGTGCTATGTTAGGTTGGACAAACCGCTTTCGCTTGTAACAGCGTCGGTTACTCTCATTTTGAGCTATCGCACCACACTATTTATTAATAATGCGAGCTTGTAATGAAATTCAAACGAAAAGTGAACAATTAAATTTATTAAGCAAAATTCATAAAAAAAGAGTTAAGTCGAAGATATTAAATCAATTCAAAAGTGATATTCATTCCTTGACATATTATAGCGTCGAACGAAATCGTTGTGCGAGTAGTTTTATGTAGATTGTAAATATTGTGCTCCTAAAATTATGCTATATATTTTTTTTTAATGTTAATATTATTTTATGTGAAAAGATATATGTAATTTGTGACACTCAATTCGTATGTGGTAGCTTTATGAAAAATGTCCTAGTTTTATTTATATACAATATTTTTAGTAAAATAAATTTTTAATTACATTTTTTTTTAATAAAAAATCATATAAAATGCACCGAAAAGTTTATACACATTTTTCAATTGTCAGTCTTAACCTTTTTATTTTTGTCAGTTTTGAAGTGCTATTAATTAAAAAAAAAATGAATAAGTTTCTCTAAATTATGAGAAACTATAATTTGAGCAAATAATGAAGATTATTTCGTATGAAAATCAGTACATTAAATAGGAAAAAAAATTAAAATAAAAAAAAATTTGCACTTAAAATTAGAATTTCTGTATTTGTATAAAACTATTTTTGTTTATATTTTGTATTTTGAAAAATTACTGTTAAACTGTTTTTAAAGTGTTTTCGAAAATTATTTAAGTCAATTAAAGGTACTCCATAGTAGCTTTCTTGAATTTCAGCACAAATTTCTTTATATTAGAAACTAAGAATTTTAAAACTTTTTAACACTGCCTTTGCATTTGAATACAAAAGTGGCCGCTGTTAGTTAATTTAACAGTGTGGCTTTAAAAAAATTAAGAAATAATTTTTTTTTTTTTAATTTTGACTAAATTGCAATTCTCTCAATGAATTCCTTGAAACATATTTCAATACAGATATTTTAGAATATTAATTAGTAGCACGCTTAATTATTCGAGCAAGCGGGAAATCACTTTTTTTAATTTAATCTTTCATAATTTTATTTAATTTAATTTATTTTCAAAGAATTAGTTTTGTATAAAAAAAAATGTTGAAAAACGAAGCCAAAGAAATCATAAAGTGCACTGAGATTTCTTACGCTGCTATAAAAGTATAAGCAAAATGTTGTATGTAAAATAAATAAATTAATAAATGATAGGTGTAATAAAATAGCTATACAACAAGTACTATTAGTGAATTATAGAGCAAGTTTGTTAAAAACTAGAGAATTTCCATGCTCACTCAAACCAACTGTCAATTGTATGTATGTCTTAATTGCGGAAAATATAAATATTTGCAAAAATTACTAAAATGAATGTATTTTGATTAAAATAAAATTTGGTTTTTAAGAGAAATATATTATTACAAATTTGTTGCAAGTATTATCGAGTTCCCGAAATTCTACATATTTGCGAAAATATTATAAAAATTAATAAATATTCTATATACCCGTATAAGTGCATGTACTCAACGATATCAGCAAAATAACTACATACATATATACATATATACAATTAGACACGAAATATGCATTTTGCTAGTAACTTATTGTCAATCTGAATGTGTTGGAAATTTTGCTTTCTGTTGCATACATACATATGTATATGCAACAAGCTAAAAATGCCTAAGTACATGCATAAATATTGAAATTATCACCAACTATTAGACTTAAAGTTGTGTTATATTAATTAAATAAATCAATAAAAGCAAAAAAATATAGCTAAGTAAATATCTAATAATTAAATAATTATAAAAAAATGAAACTGTATATTAAATATATATTATAATTACAAGAAAAGTGATGACACAAATAAATAAGCTACTTTTTCATAAAAATTAATGTAACGAAAATAAAAGAAAAAAAAAAACGTGTTTCATTTGAAAGTTTTTGATGTTGAATTAGTTTTTACAATATTTTTCAAAAAAGTGAGTCATTTGGATTTCGTTTACTCGCACTCTGTAAAGGATCGTTTGGTAGCCAAGAAAGTGTTTTTGTCTCCTTCCTCTAGTAAGCTTCAGAATTGTTATTAAAAATACTGTTTTCATTTTATTAATTAGGAATTCAGTTGAAAATGGTTTTAGTAAAGAAAATTGTCTTTTAAAAATTCGCCAACTACGAAAGAGCGAGTGTAAGAAATTGTATACTCTCAAAGAGAGAAATTGTTTATAATTAAAATGCGAAACACTTATTTGCTTAATATTTGCTCAGCTTAGTGAAAAAAGTCAGTAAGAGTTAGTAACAAGTAACGAAATTGGGAGAGTAAAAAGTTTTCCTCTCCGTTAGATATTGTGTTTTTACCAAACAAGTTCATTTTTATCAAATTCTGAATTTTCTTTTATAAGTATAACTTAAGATTACCAAATGCAGCACTGTGAAGGCATTCCGGTTTGAGTGCTCGCTTAGCTAGCATCAACAGCTGTTGCATTCATCAAACAGCTGATATACGAAATTTCATAGACGGTAATCAGCAGGAATAGTTGTCAGTTACTTAATGCAATTGGAATTGTAAAAATGTTCAATTAAATGGTTTCAAATATCTGTTGAAATTATGTTAACTAACAAATTAAATACTTTTCGTCGTTACTGTGCCCAAGCTAGCAACCCTTTTTATGCAACAACGCCAATATTCTATGTCAATGCCGGTAAGTGTTGGGAGAATAGACTGAAAAACAATTGTTATCTTATATTCATCCAAACACAGCACCACACATTGGACATCTTTACTCTGCGGTTATAACGGATGCCATCTGTCGTTATCAACGTTTGCGACAACCTGAACAGTCGTTACATCTATGTACCGGCACCGACGAACATGGCACTAAAATACAACAAGCAGCGTCAGCGCAAGCTGTGCCTGTAGCACAATATTGCGACGATATATCAGCGCGCTATCGTGAGGTATTTGCTGAAGCCGGCATAGCCAATACAGACTTCATACGCACGACGGAGGGGCGACATAAGCAGGCGGTTGCTCAATTTTGGGTACTATTGCATGTTACATATATTAAATAATCGTAATACAAATTTATATTCATTTACAGCGCACGCTAAACGCACGTGAACACATTTACTCTGCCGCTTATAGTGGTTGGTATTGTGTTTCGGATGAGACTTTTCTCACAGATTCACAGCTGCGCTTAGACACAGCAAGTAACACACGTTTCTCACTCGAGTCTGGGCATCCGGTCGAATGGACTGAAGAAACAAATTATATGTTCCGTTTGTCAAATTTACAAGATGATGTCTTACATTGGGTAAAACAAGGTGGACGCATACGACCAGGAAAATTTGAGAAGATTTTATTAGATATGCTAAGTGAACCACTACCAGATGTTTCCGTTTCACGTCCAACAAATCGCGTACACTGGGCTATACCGGTACCTGATGATGATTCCCAAACGGTGTATGTGTGGTTAGATGCGCTAATAAATTACCTAACTTCGGTGGGTTATCCTGATGAAAAGGTGAGTTATATTTTCTGGCAACTTACTCAAGAACAAAATAAGTGCGCATCATTTTTAGTTCCGTAGTTACTGGCCTCCCAATGTGCAAGTGATTGGAAAGGATATTTTGAAATTTCATGGCATTTATTGGCCCGCATTTCTTATTGCTGCAGGTAAGCTGCTTAATTACTACAACATGAATAGACTTATTACTTTTTAATGAAGCGTGTGCGCCTGTGTACGTGTACCAGCGATTCTAGTCATTATTATGATTTATTTTTGTCGAAAATATACCTAAAATAAAGGCAATCTTGAAAATCCATAACATCATTATATATGTATCCTTTTCGAAGTCTATGATCGACCAGCCGCTAATATGAATATCTAAGATACACTTTAATGGTATCTACCCACCTATTTCATGATTGCGATCTATTTAAATTCGGCTTGAACTTTGAAAAACCGCTGTTTCCAGACAGCTTGGATGTTCTCTCTAAACTTCGATTTGCTTAAAAATGACAGAAAATTCAATAGATTATATCCTTAATACTGAAAATTTTCAGTAGGGAATCGAGCTCGTATCGTTATCAGGTACAAAAAAAAACTTATTAAACAATGAAAACATCGAACGAGTAGGTTCTACCAAGTACAATGATAAAATAATTACCATCCACGTACCGTATAGGCCTCCAAGAATAGAAACAAAAAATCTTGAATTCGTTTTGGATATTAGTTATATTAAGGGAAACTTTTTTCGTAGAGTGCTACTAAACTCATTTGAGTTTTATTTAAGAAAAATCCCCTTTGCTTTGTTGTTGTTGTAGCGGCTACGTTAACCCCGCTTAAGGACGTGCTTAAAATCAATCTAAGTCAACGCCTGTCCTAAGAGGCGACTAAAATCCAATAGTTCCCGCGACAGTCGGCTCTGTATATCGGATCGACCTGGATTTTTATTTTAATCTGGTTAAGGACTGTCCCTCAACATTCCCCAAAAAGTGGTTACAACAACAACAACAACAACAACAACTACTACTACAACAACAACAACAACAACAACGGGATGCCCAGGAAACGTACTGTTTCGACGTGATCGGACCAGAGGGTGAGAGCGGTTAGATGTGTCGGCTTAACGGAGCATGTGAAGAAGTAGTTAGTGTCGTGCGGAGACTCTCCACATGCTGATAATACATTGGGTATGTTGGAGTCGAGACTCGATAGGTAGGAGTTTAACCTGGTACAGTATACATATCTAAGTTGTGAGTTGAGGCAACTCGAGCTCGTTGTCTGCGGTAGGTGGTGCCTTGTCTCCGAGTACGCCGTTCACGAAATGGGACCTTTTGAAGGTTTTGACTGACTTCTGGTAAATAACGTTCAGTGTTTGTCTGTACCCCGTCCTGTCCAGCGGTTGTTGCACGTGTTGCTGGATGGTGTCCTTCATATCTAGTACTGCCTTCCTGATGTGCCTGGCTGGAGGTGCAGCATCGATGAGATGCCTATTGGGACTGCTTCCATCCCAATAGGAACCGCTTGCGCAGCATAGATGCTTCACAGTGCAAGTGATGCTCCGGCGTCATCAGAAGGTTTCTTGTCGCGATCCTGAGCGCAATGCTCTGGCAAGCCTGTAACTTCTTTATCTGCGTTTCGTTCGCTCCTGGCGCCCAGATTGGTGCAGCAATGTTACATGAAAACCAATTCGGGGTATAGTTTCCGGTTACAACAACAACAACAACTTGCCGTCCGATTGATTTATAAGTTGCCAGCAAGGTTTCTACATTCTTAATCCAGTTGCTGTTGGCTAGCGCTTTGAGTATTTTGTCGCGGCTCAAGAGCTTTTTCAGCTTTTCCTGAAGACAATAATAATGATTAAAGTTGCTTTTTTTCTAACAAATTGTATTTAACCAATCTCAAGCGATGCATTTATCGAAGCTCCTTATTCTTGCCCTCAAACGCTCTTCGCAGTCAATTTACTTTTAATTATCCCCCTTTTGTTTATCTACTTAATTCGCTGAGCTACTTAAGCTTTAAACTTCGCGCAGATATTTTTCTTTTTTCACTTATATTTTCATTATTTTCTTTTACTTCTTCAGGTTTGGAGCCGCCACAACAACTATTCGTACACTCCCACTGGACAGTGGATGGGCAGAAAATGTCGAAAAGCAAGCAAAACGTTGTGGATCCGGTTGTGGCGGCCAAAACTTACACAATGGAAGGCTTGCGGTACTTCCTGTTGCGTGAGGGTGTTGCACATAGCGATGGCAGTAAGTATACACAAGTAACAGATTAACGGTTGTAGTAATAACAAAAAGAAGAAGAAAAAATAGTAACAGTTACAGATGTATGTATGTGTGTACTGAAACACTTAACTGTACACTGGAAGTGCTTAAAATAGAAATGCAGGAAACAACAAAACTTAAATATTTGTTAAGAAATTATCAGGGAAAATACGTGAAGAGAGAGTTGCAAATAGGAGTTGGTTTGGCTGGTTTGGCAGCAAACGGATGTCCGACAAAATAAAAGAGAAAAAAAAACGCAAATAATTTAAGGACTGGAGAAAAGTTGACTTTAAGCTCTAAGTCTGTTCAAGCAATTAGGTTCACGTGGTCACCAAATCGAAGAAAGAGTGTAAGAAAATCCAAAAAGTAGGTAGAATCAAAAAAACAATAATGGTTACTAGAGCTTCTCAGCAATAATCGACGTATTTGAGTAAGATCTGCTGGCTGTTACCGTAGGAAAAACCCCCACAGCCATTTAATTGAATCCGAGCAACCAACTAGGCACGTCAGAAAAGGAGTACTCGACTACTGCTGTTGTTGTTGTAACCGGAAAAATATTCCCTGAATTGCTTTTGTCTGGCCGATCTCCGGTGCGTAGAGTTGACCATAAACACTTAGGTATCAAGGCCTTAACCTAAACCGTGGATTTGTCTAAAGCTTTTGACACGGTAAACCCTTCAGCGCTACTATCGGACATTCCCAGCTTGTTGAGAGTCTTCTCTAACCCCCCTCTCTCTGGTCCGATCCCGTCGAAACAGCATGTTTCCTCCCGTTAGATGACCTCGCCGGCTTAGATTGATTTTAAACCTGTCCTTAAGCGGGGTTAACGTAGCTGCTACAACAACAACAGACATCATAAACTCATTTCTGTCGGGGTTGAAGTAATGGACCACGTGTCTTGAGTGTTCGTCAATCAATTAATTTCGAGGTCAAGCATCGGATCTTAGTGAGATTAAACAGGGGCTTCGTAGGCAGGTGCCCGCCTCCCACTACTGTTAAACTTTTATATCTCGGAACTCCCTGTTCCATTGATCTCATATGTCGTCACCAATATACTTTTGTTCGAAAGTGAAATGCTATCTCGACGACCTTTCCTAATTCTTCACCGCAAGACAATTAGCAAAATCCACTGCTTCCTTCTTTACCAGCTGGACGAAGAAGTACAGGCTTGAACTCGACGGCATAAAAATTTCCGACTATAAACCAAAGTTGCTGGCACTCAAATTCGACGGCCTGCACACTCCTTCACTCCGCATAGGATTACAAATGCCACAATACTCCAGAGCCACCTCAAGATTCCCAACGTGTTAGCCGACTACACCTGGAGGAAAAGACAAATAAAATTTGCTGCTAACCTACAAAGCAATTGGCCGACTGGTCGTAAACTACGCTGCATCGGTCTAGGCTCCGGGGACTAACGAGACACATATGAAAAAGCTACAAACCTGTAACGAGTTAAGGAGCATAATGCTTAGCTATGTAGGGAACCCCCCAATAAACATCTAATAGAAGGTGAACCTTCACCTAGGCACATGAGAAAGAGTATACTAGATATGAAGAACAGAATCCAGGAACATGTGCAACAACTACTGGGCAGGACGGCGTAAAGACAAACACTGAGCGTCATTCAACAGGAGTCAGTCAAAACCTTCAAAGGGTCCCTTTTCGTGAACGGCGTACTCGGAGACAAAGCACCACCTATCGCAGACAACGAGCTCGAGTTGCCTCAACTCACAACTTAGATCTGGATACTGTATCAGGTTAAACTCCTACCTATCGAGACTCGACTTCAACATACCCAATGTATTCTCAGCATGTGGAGAGTCTCCGCACGACACTAACCTCTTCTTCACATGCTCCGTTAAGCCGACACGTCTAACCGCTCCCTCCCTCGGGTCCTATCCCGTCGAAACAGTACGTTTCCTGAACCTTCCGTTGTTGTTGTAACCGCAAAAATATTTGCCAAAGTACTTTTTGGGGAATGTTGAGGGAATGACAGTATTTAACCGGTTAAAAATCCGGGTCGTTCCGGTATAAAACACCGACTGTCGCGGACACTATTGGATTTTAGTCGCCTCTTAGGCATACCTTTCCGCTGGTAAATTCTGGAACCCCTAACCCGAAGGGGGGCTGAACCTCCCGTTAGATGTCCTCGGTGACTTACGATTGATTTTAAACCTGCCCTTAAGCGGAGTAAGCATAGCCACTACAACAACAACAACAACAACAACAACTCCGTCCGTCACTAAACCCTTAAAACCTACTCACCCCTCAGATGCGGACCCGGCGAAACAGCTCGGTTTTTTACCTCTAGTTGGAAAACCTCGTTACCTTAGACTGATAAGTGGCGTAGGATTAGTCGCTATAACAGCAACAACAACAACAACAAGGTGATATACTAATTTAAAACCAACAACAACAAATATATGTATGTATGTAAACTAGAATTTGTACATATTTTCTTTCCTCATATATGTATATATGTATGTACGTGTATTCTGTATTTTATTTGAAGGCGTTGGCGTCTCCCGTATCTTCAAGTAGCACTTGTGGCTTCTAAGTGCCATAAGTTAATTTAAACTTCTAAGTATGAAATTTATGTGTGCGCTACTGTTTGTTGGTGTGAAACTTTGTCTGCTACAAAAGTTTTCACTTCTCGCACATATCCATTGTTTATGACCCTTATTCATTTCCTATCCCACACTTTCTTGGCACATCTTTCTTCTGTCTCTGTGGTTTAGTTTGGCAGCACATTTGCCAAAGATTTGCATAGCAAATAATAATAAGAAAAATAATAAAAACAAACAAACAGAGGTTATTTTAAGTTCTTTTCCTCACAACAAGATGTTTGTATGTATGTACATGTTGTTTTGAGGTCCTACGCCAATTTTCTAAGCGTATTAAGAATGAATTTCCGAGAGCGTGCAAGATAACAGAAGTTTGCTTATGTATGTATGTATGTATGTATGTATGCATGTATGTATGTATGTATGTATGTATGTATGTATGTATGTATGTATGTATGTATGTATGTATATCTGTGTGTTAACTCATGTAACTGCTTTTATTTGTATACAAAAAAAAAAAAACTTTCAGTCAAGTTCGAGTTGTGTCCCTTACTGTTTGTTATTGCTTTAAGTTTTTGTGCTGAAAATTTGATTAGTTTTTCGGTGTTTTGATAGAAGTTTTGGGTTCAATGCAATTCCACTTCAACTCTGTCAATGCATATTTGAGTATTTCATAATTAATTATATGCGAAAAGATGATTTGAGCCTTTGACACATATAAAAAGGGTGGTTTTTTAAGAGCTATAGGAAAGTTTTTCAAACAAAAAAAAAACACATAAAATTCAGAAAAATGCATGAAATCTTTATTTGAATCGAGAGTACGGTCCATATAATTTATTGTTTGAAGATTATTTCATGCAAATGTTGACCGTGACTGCGCCTCTAGTGGTCCATTCGCTTAGTCCAATTTTGGCATACTCTTTCAAACATTTCGGCCGGTATGTCAAGAATAAATGCTTCAATGTTGTCCTCCAATGCGTCAATTGAAGCGGGCTTGTCTGTATAGTCGTTAGAATTAACATAGCCCATTGTCCATTGTTACGCGTGCTGTATGGCATGTGGCACCGTCTTGTTGATACCACATGTCATGCAAGTCAAGCTCTTGCATTTTTGGCAAAAAAAAGTTTGATATCATCTCACGGTAGCACTCACCATTCACAGTTACGTTACGATTCGCATCATCTTCGAAGAAGTACGGTCCAATGATGCCACCAGCCCTAAAAACCACATCAAACTGCCACTTTTTTTGGATGCACTGGTAGCTCTTGGAATGCTTTTGGCTGATCTTCACTCAAAAATCGACATATCTGCTTATTTACGCACCCATTAAGCCGAAAATTAACTTCGAAACGCGCGCGGAAAAAGTGCACGATGAATTTTCTTAACAGAGCACGCATTTTGATAATAATATTTAATAATAAGGCGATTCATGCTTCGATTATAGACCAAATTGAAGATGTTTAACGGTGATACAAAACACGAAACGAGCGTCAGCTGTGTAAGACAGTGTTGCCAAAAAAATAATAGCTAAAAAATCACCCTTTACAGAAGTTTGTTTCGTATGCTGTAGGCCGCACCTTTTGCTTTAGACCTTTTCTTAGGGAAACTGCGATGAACCTAAGTAGGCAAATTTATGTAAAATATATTTGAATTATTCATATTTGACCTGCCGTTAAAATATGTCATCGTGTATTCACGTATGTATTTCATTATTTTACCTAAAGATCTTTTGTGAATTATACAAGTACGAGTATGTATATATGTAACTAGTATTGGTTCGGTAGAAAATGAGATATCGCATTTCGGTCGGATTTTTTCAGTTTAAATTTTAAAACTTTCTTGAGCATAAATAGAAAATTAAAAAGTTAATTTTTATGTCTAACGAATTTCCGAAAGGCAATTCCATGCAAGTGCCTGTGAACTTCATTGATGCAACATGGGTTTGGGCTTGCTGCAATAGATCTTTGATTTTAAATAACCACATACAAAGAAATATTGTGTTGCCCCAAAGGAAATCGGTGATTTTCATACAGACACCGTTGACAATTTTTTTTGAACAGCTTGTGACTAACTGGATTTTTTCTATTGACCGTTAGAAGCTGCCACTTTTAGCTTGTTTTAGAAAAAAAGTACGCGTAATTTTATTTTTATTTGTCTTTTTGAAGTTCATTTTAATGCGAAGCTCACAAAGGAAGACTTTTGTTATCTTTTACTTTACTATTTCCTTAAAGGAAGAAACACAGCGCAAATTGTTAAAAAGTTGCATAATTTGTATGCTGATAAGACCTTAGTAGAACCATAATGTCGCAGTGGGTTTGTCATATTCCGTTCGGGAGATTTTTCACTCAAAGAAAAACCAAGTGAAGTTGATAATGACCATATCAAGGCTTCAATCGAATCGGATCGTCATGTAACTGA